CTTTTCTGTGCCTCTGCTTTTCTTCCTCCTGCAGTCAAGGGATCTGAATGAAATAACTGGTCCTCTAGCAGCCATCTTGGACAGCAAGGTGACCATGAGGAGGCTGCCGATAGGATACTGGAGTAAAACAGAACCTGGGTGCTGTGGGCCTGCCCTAAGTTCTCCAGGCTTTTCAAAGACAAATGTGTCCTTTGTGCTAGCCAGTTACTCTGTTTTGTCATTTACATTACGTGCAGTCAAATCTAAACCCAATGCACATTATTTATGGACACAGGATACCATATGCTAAACACATTTTATTCTCAGTAAACAGTAAGTGACTTTTTCAAGAAGGTGACCAGCATAAGGCTCTTTAATAAATTCACTATTTACTGGACTTTTTTTTTTTTTTTTTGACAGGCAGAGTTAGAGAGAGAGACAGAGAGAAAGGTCTTCCTTCCGTTGGTTCACCCCTAAAATGGCCACTACGGCTGGCATGCTACGCCAATCTGAAGCCAGGAGCCAGGCGCTTCCTCCTGGTCTCCCATGGGGTGCAGGGCCCAAGCACTTGGGCCATCCTCCACTGCCTTCCCGGGCCACAGCAGAGAGCTGGACTGGAAGGGGAGCAACCAGGACAAAATCCAGCGCCCCAACCGGGACTAGAACCCGGGATGCCGGCGCCGCAGGCAGAGGATTAGCCAAGTGAGTCGCAGCGTCAGCCTACTAAACCTTTTTAACAGCGGCAAGTTTATCACCAACTACCTTCTCTTTCCCACAGACAACCCTCAAATACATACACTCTTTCTCTACTGATTTAACGTCAACTAACACACATAATTCCTAGTATTCTGCCCTCACAGGACAATAACCAAAATTCAACTCTCTGCAATCAGTAAGAAAAACCAAGGGAAGGGTTCATTTGGTGTACTGGTGAAGATGCTGTTTGAGACACCTCACCCCAGATTGGAGTACCTGGGTTTGAGTCCCAATTCCAAACTGGGAGGCAGCAGGTAATGGCTCATGTAGCCGAGTCCCTGCCACCCATGTAGGAGACCGGGATGGAGTTTCAGGCTCCTGGCTTCAGCACTGCGCAGCCCCAGCTGCCGTGAGCAACTGGAGAGTGAATGAGAAGATGAGACATCTCTGTCTCTTTCTGCCTTTTACATAAATAAAAATCAAAAACCCAATGCCAACAGACCAGGATCCTCATGTCTATAAAACACAAAGAAGTTATGACTCCCAAACTAGAGGCAATAGAAAAGGACAGACGTAACAATTCTAAAATGATCTGCATTGGGATAACAACCATGGAGTCATTAAGGCTCACACTAGATGTACACAACCCCAGGCCAACATCCACTCAGAGACAAATGTCAAGGAGTCCCCCAACTCACTCACGAGATGTACAACAGGCCTCAACATCAGCACCAACCTGCAAGCCAATGACCCTGCACACCTCTGGGCATTGACTGTCTTGACAAGGTCCTTAAAGTACTGCCCGGTGCGGGAGTCCGAACCCTGCTGCAACACACAGTACCTGAGGCTCTGCCTCAGCTTCCAACAGCCAGTGTAGTGGGCGAGCATTCAGCCTAGCAGTCAAGATGCCCACATTCCACACCAGAGAACCTGGCTGTGAGTCCCAACTCTAGCTCCTGACTTGAGCTTCCCACTGACTGTCTCAAGTAATTGGCTTCCCATCATCCCCATGGGAGTCCTAGATTCAGTTCCTGTCTCCTAGCTTGGACCCTGGCCCATCCTGGGCCACTGCAGGCCTTTGAGGAGTAAACCAAAAGATGGAGGCCCTCTCACATGCTCAGGTGCTCTCTCTACTTAATAATAATAATAATGGGGCCAGTACTGTAGTTAGCAGGTAAAGCCACCGCCTGTAGTGCTGGCATCTTATATGGGCACCGGTTCAAGACCTGGCTGCTCCACTTCTAATCCAGCTCTCTGCTATGGCCTGGGAAAGCAGTGGAAGATGGCTCAAGTCCTTGGGACCCTGCACCTGCGTGGGAGACCCAGAGGAACCTCCTGGCTCCTAGGTTCGGATCGGCCCAGCTCTGGGCATTGCGAACATTTGGGGAATGAACCAGCAGACAGAAGATCTCTTTCTCTGCCTCTGCATCTGCCCCTCTGTAACTCTGCCTTCCAAATAAATAAATAAATCTTTAAAAAACAACAACAACAACAACAACAACAACCACCAATCCCACTTAAGGACAAACAAAAGACTAGAAAAAGGGAAAGAGAATGGCATTCAGGTCTCCCGCCTTCTCCTGTAAACAGCAGGACTGTGACAAGGTAGCTTTTCCTTCACAAGAGCCTAGAGTCCCCGACACAAATCCCCTAAAAGGTAAAAACTTGAATACATAGCTTGAAATTATACTAACTTTTAAAACTTCATCAAGGACATCGAAACTGTCATGGTTCTATTATCTTAAGCCAGGGCTTGGTTACTTAACATTACAGCACTGTGGCTTGTTCTCTCAGCATGATAAGGATGTAAGGGAAAAAATAAATAAAACTCAGCTCCTACATCACATTTGCTACCAACACATCTGCTGCTTCCTACTGCCTCATCCAAAGCAATTTGGAGGTATAAATTACTTGGAAAAGTGATCACCAACAGCTCTAAATTATTCAAAGAACTGAATTTCGGAGGCAGGATGAGCATAACCATGTGAACCGAGACAGGATCATGGCAAAGGGAAACCAGAAAGCATTTTATTCGTGTAACTTAAATCCTTCACAGGCACACATCTTCAACTGATCTCTGATAGTCCATATTCTTGCAGAGTATCTATTCCATTACTAAGAGGGAGGAATACATAGGTAGAAGAGATACAGGTAACAAAGGCTATTTTAAAGTAAATTGGAAAGTAGAACCATGCTTTAAAAATGTCTGGAAAGGGAGCAGTCTTGATGCAGCGGGTAAGATGATTGCATTCCATATCGGAACACCTGGGTTCAAGTCCCAGCTCTGCTTCCAACCCGGCTTCCTACATTTAATGTGAATCCTGGGAAGCAGTAGTGATAGCCCAAATACTTGAGTCTCTGTCACCCACATGGGAGACCTGGACTGAGTTCCAGGCTCCGGGATCTGGCCTAGTCCAGACCTGGCTGTTGCAGACATTTGGGGAGTGAACCAGTGGGCAGTTCAGTCCACCAGTCTGTCTCTGTCTCTCTGCCTTTCAAACAAAATTAAATAAATAAATTTATAAATGTCTAGGAAGATATGCTAAATCTAACAGTTGTTCTCTCTAAAGCAAAAATCACAGGTTAACCTTCTTGTCTTTTTATTTGTATTTTCTAATTTTTTCACAAGCACTTACCATTTACATAATTTTAAAGTGTATTTTTAAAGGTAAGCAGACTGGGGCTGCACTGTTGTGCAGCAGGTTAAAGCCCTGGCCTACAGTGCTGGCATCCCATATGGGTGCTGGTTTGAGTGCTGGGCTGCTCCACTTCCAATCCAGCTCTCTGCTATGGCCTGGGAAAGCAGTGAAAAATGGCCCAAGTCCTTGGGCCCCTGCACCCATGTGGGAGACCCAGAAGAAGCTCCTGGCTACTGGCTTCGGATCAGCTCAGCTCTGGCCATTGCAGTCATTTGTGGAGTGAACCAGCGATGGAAGACCTCTCTCTTTCTCTCTTTCTGGCTCTACCTTTCTCTGTAACTGTGTCTTTTAAATAAATAAACAAATCTTAAAAAAAAGTAAGCAGATCCACCATAGTACCAACAGAAGAAGAAGCTACACATGGAACAGTTCAGAATAAAACAAAGTATGAGGGATTTCTGGGCTCAAAGATGAAAGATGCAGGGAAGGCAAAATCCTGGGGCGTGTGCAGCCCCCGGAGTCTTCAGCTCAGTTCCCTCCCCCCGAGGCCTGACGCCAGGTGGTTTCAGGCAGTTGCATCCTCTCTCCCGAAGGATGCAGAGAGCGCAAGCGCGAACTTCCATGCCAAGGCAGCTCAGGCCTGGCTCCTGCAGATTCAGCCAAGGAGGCGGCTGAAGTTTCCAGCAGCTCACCATCTAATTATTTCTAACCCCTGCTTCACAGTCCAGTTTATGGATTCTGCATGTTTAATAAACAGTTACTCCTCACCTCCCTTACGGCAATTAATACCAGCCCTGGGCTATGAGGTCTGTGACACCACCAGCCAGGCCATACTCTCCAAGCTGACAGTGCCACCTGAATGGACTCATGGTTTATGCAACATGCCTCCCTACAGTCCTGCCTCTAGTGGACACCTCAAATTGAGGTGCTGAGGCAGAAATTCCAACACAGTGGCCTAGGTTTGCTCTGCCTATTTGTTCCACAAAAAGGAAAATGCCTTTTCTGATTACATGCACGCTTCCCTCACATGGAAAAATAAATCTATATATTTTTGCACAGCACATCAGAATCACACATTACCAAGTCTGCTCGCTATCATGAGCTTAGAATTATCCCAAACCCCCAGGTGCCCCATCCTTCTCCTCTTAAACCTATTTTTCTTGACTCTTATCTCTGCTACATCTCAACTCAAGGATGGAATGCTTTGTTTTATTTTGTTTTGTTTTACTTTTTATTTATTTGAAAGGCAGAGAGAAAAAAGACAGCTAAATAGAGAAGAATTGCGAGACACAGTGAGACAAATTAAAAGAGAGAACGCCCCTATCTGTTGTTCACTCCTCAAATGCCCATTACAGCTACAGCTGGACTGAGCTGAGAGTCAATCGAGGTCTCCCACGTGGGCGGCAGGAACCCAAACACTTGAGTCATCACTGCTGCTTCTAGGGTCTGCATTAGCAGGATGCTGGAGGCAGGCGAAGGATATGGGTATCAAACCCAGGCACACGGATGTGGGTGGCAAGGGTCTTATTTGGCAACTTAACCACTAGGCCAAATGCCCACCTGGGAGGGACTACTGAGCAAGGAGTTCCCTGCACCCAAGGCTCAACCAGGAATCCACTCCTACTAAAGCCATGGGCCGAGTCTGCAGGTGCCCTTACCCTCCCAACCCCACCTCCTCATACTCACTGTTGCTGGACTTAAGGTCTCGGTGGATGATGGGAACAATCGCCTCATCGTGTAAGTAGTTCATGCCTCTGGCAATCTGCACGGCCCAATTCACCAGGATGTCCGGGGGAATCCTTTTCCCAGATAACACTCTATTCAAAGGCCCTCCCCGGGCAAACTCCATCACCAAGCAGAGGTTGGGTTCCTTCAGACACACCCCCCTGAGGGCAATGATGTTGGGGTGCTTCAGCATGGCGAAGAGCTTGGCCTCCTGGCGAACATTCTCTATGGTCTGGCTGATGTCTTCATCGGGGTCGTGGCGGGCGGCTTTCACGGCAACCTCATCCCCTATCCAGAAGGCACGGTAGACCTTTCCGAAACCCCCAATGCCTATGATCTCTTCCAGGGTTAGCTCCGCAAAATCAATCTCTAACACTGGGGAGAGAAGACAAAAGGCGCAGGTCAGAGACATCCTGGAAATGCCAGTCAAGCATCCATCTGTTCACTGGACTTTTCTGTCTCCCCCCACTGGAAGACCAGCTCCATCAGGGCAGGAACCACAACTAATTTGCTTTCTTTCACATTATGCCTAGTTGACTAGCACATAGTGGGTATTTAATAATGAGCACCAGTTCATGTCCCAGCTGCTCCACTTCCAATCCAGCTCCCTGCTAATGCACTTGGGAAAGCAGTGGAGGATGGCCCAAGCGCTTGGGCCTCTGCCATCCACGTGGCAGAAGCTCCTGGCTCAGCCTAGCTCAGTCTTGGCCATTGCTGCCACTTGAAAAGTGAACCAGAGAATGGAAGAAATCTCTCTCTCCCTCTCACTCTCTCTCCTTTTCTCTTTCTCTCTGTAACTCTGTCTCTCAAATAAATAAATGTTTAAAGAAATTAAATAAATCCCACTTAGAAAGTTAGGCAGAATCCTGTTCCAAAGCCAAGCGTTTTAACCAACAGAAACACTGGGGAAATCTTTGAGGGTCCTACTCAGCTTCACTCTGCACTTGCTGCTGAGAAGCACACGACCCAAGGCCCAGGGCAGAAACCCAACAACCACAACACAGGGGGAGAAGAGGTTCTGCAGAAGGTGATCAGAGGCTTAGGAAAATCACTGACTACCACACAGGACGGGGATGGAGCCGGGGAACAGGCAAAGGAGTCTGGGATCTGATGAATGAGTGGGAAGAGTTGCACAGGGCAATGGAGGAGACCAGGGTGCAGAAAGACAAGACTGTGCACCCAGGTGTGAGAGTGCAGGGCGTCTGGTGCAGCCGGATTACACGCACAAGGACAGCACGAAAGGCGCATAGCTTTGCTTGGGGTCACCAGATGGTGAGATGTTTTTAAAGCCATTTTAAGGGGCTTAAACTTCACACTGTAAACAGCAGAAGCCATGCATGTTTCCGAAGAGCAGTGTTGTTAGACCAACAACTTAAAAAGAAGACTGATGGTAGAAATCCTGGACAAGAACTTCAAAGGGTCCCTGGGAAAAAAAATAAAATTAAAACCTAAGTTTATTTTTTGTACAAATATATTTTGAAATCTATGCATAGTTTTTTTCATAATATAGACTTCATAAACTTTTTGAAGACTCTCTGTATGCATGGATTTCAATTTTTTTTGCAGCAAAAGAATTGTGTCATTCCATTTCCCATGAGCTTTTAGACGTGCTCTCATAGAACACAGCCTGGCAGACAACCTTCAGCAAAAGGCATCACTAACAAGGTCACTGAAATAGCCCAAGCACACTGACCCACAACAGCAGTGAATGCAGGAGGCACTGGGTCTGCTCGGGAGACTTCCAGCACCCAGTTCACCAGGACCTGGTAGCTGAGATCCATGGGAAAGGACCCTCAAAACAGATACCTCTGTGCCCTCGTTCAATCCCCCAAGTTCCCGGCATCAGCCAATCCAGAGAGTGACCGTGAGGCCCTAGATTGTATCTGCAGCTGTGTTGCATGGAGAGATACTAACAGCTGCCAGCAATGAGAAATCTTGGGCTAGCTAGCTATGCCATTTAGTGCTCAGAGAGCCAAGTGCTATTTTATGTTTCTCTCATGAAACTCTGGGGTTTTTTTGTTTGGTTTTGTTTTTTGACATCTCCTCAGTCTCCGCGGTCTTTGCCTGACTAACTGATGCTCACTCCTCAAGACTCAAATGTCAACTTCATATAGGAACTTCTCCTAACCCCAGACCAAATGAGGTCAAGCTCCCGATCAAACACTTCCATCGCTGTCTCCATTCTGCGAGGCTCATCAAGGTCCTAATTACTTAACTGCCAGTTCAATGCCTGTCCCCCTGGCTTGGTCACAATATCCACAGGGCAGAGGTTCTGTCTGCCCCATTCACCACTGCACTCACCAGATCAAACACTTAGAAGGTGACCAGCTGATGAACGAAATTTAAGGGTACTTCAAAAAGTTTGCAAAAAATAGAACTACAAGGCAAGTTTATTTTGGTGCAAAAACATGTTTTGAAATCATGCAGCCCCTTCTGTCAGTTTCTATTTGCCTCTCAATCAGAAAACTTTGTTGTGGCTTAGCATCCTTTTTAGGTCCTCTAGTAATGAATCTGTCCTTTGTTCTAGACCCTGTCTAGCCCACTTGGGGCCTCATTCCTTTGTAATCATAGCCTCTACTCTTACATCAATGGTTCTACTCCCGACCTGTGTGTATTAGTGATCCTTTCCCCCACTTAATATTGTATGATTATTCAGAATTTCTCTACAAACTCCTCTACCTGCAAAAGCAGAGTGGCCTTTCTCCTGGACTTGGTTGGGATCAGCTTTAAACCACGTCCATCAAAGTCTTCACAAGGGTCCAGAGACCCTCCTCATTTCCTCTCCTCTATGAAATCCTTTCATTTCTTGGTTAATGCCACTCTTAGGATCATTGGTTGCTATTCTCATACTGTCTTTTATACTACCGTGTCTGCTTAAGTGTTTACAGGAGTTAATAAGGAACGAACCAAGGTCTTCAGCAACCAGGCGGTGAACCAAATGCTGCTACAGGGATATACTTGGTTCCTTATTCAGGAGACAGCACCTTGAGACATCGCCCCTTGCCAACAAAGAGTACCTCATCGCTCCATGTCAGCAGGAAGTAGCTCTAAAGACAGATCATCACCCCTCTATCCCTCCTGGACTTTTGGGACTAATGTAATCACATAAAACTCTTGCTTTATAAAAAACAAAAGGGGGGAATGTTAGTACAATGTCGCAGACTTATCTATGGTGCGATCCACACCCTGACACCATCCTAGGCTCTAGCCCCTGCTGGAAGCCAGGTGACCACATGGCCCAACTAACAGTGTCAGCCCCATGCCCATCCTAATGGGATTCACTGCTCCTACTGCCTGCCCATCCCCCGTCAAAGTTTTAAAAGGGCCTGTTCCTAAACATGTGGCTCGCTCTCTTTATCTCCATCTCCTGATCTCTGTCTCTGTCTCTTTCTGTCTCTCTCTTACGCTCTCCTTCTCCCTCCTTTCCCTCTTCGCCTCTTCCCTCAAGTCTGTCGGGTTCCCCCAATAAACTCTTCTCCTTAAAAAAAATCATGCGTACAAGGGTCTTCAAAAAGTTCATAAGAAGGCTGGGCGTTTATAGAGAATTTGATGTCCATACCCCATATCCAAGTACCTGGGGTTGATTCCGAGTGCTGGCTCCTGACTCGTTTCCTGCTAATGCACACCCTGGGTGCAGCAGTGATGCTTCAAGTGATTGAGTCCCCAACACCAAGGTGGCAGACCTGGATTTAGTTCCTGGCTACAGTATAGCCTAGGCAGGGTCAATGTATGGACTCAGGGGCAGTATTTGAGAGCTGTCTCTGTGTGTCTCTGCCTCCCAAATAAATAATTTTTTAAGTTCGTGAAAGATTAATATTATGCAAAAAATATGCAAGAATTTCAAAAAATGTTTTCATCAAAATAATCTTACCTTTTTATTCTGAAGTAAAGTAAAAAAAAAAAAAAAAAAAAAAAAAAAAGTGTATCTCCAGGGCCAGCCAGCATTGTGGTACAGAGGATTAAGCTGCTGCTTGCAATGGAAGCATCTCCCATGATCACCAGTTCAAGTCCTGGCTGCTCTTCTTCCAATCCACCTTCCTACTTATGTACCTGAGGAAGCAGAAGAGGGCCCAACCAAGTACTTACTTGGACCCCTGCCATGCACATGGGAGACCCAGATGGAGTTGCAGGCTCCTGGCTTCAACTGGCCCAGCCCAGGCTGTTGCAGCCATTTGGGGAGTGAGTTAACCAGTGCATGGAAGAGTTCTCTCCCCCCCTCCCCATCTTTTTCTGTCTCTCCCTCTCTCTGTAACTCTATCTTTATAATAAATATAAATAAATCTTCATTTAAAAAAATCTACCTCAGTAGGAAATAAATCACATCCAGATCTCCAAAGACAGAGACATATGAATTGGACTTTCTGAAACAAATGCAGAGCATAATCACACTTTAATAAAAAACTAAGAAAACAAAAATATATGTCTGAACTTTTGGCAAGACCAAAAGAGGAGCTGCCCACTGCTGGCTGTTCCTTTCCTTTCTTAGCCAACCCTGTGACGCCCGCATTCTCCACTCAGATGCTGGTAGTGTTAAAAAATCTGTTCTTGCTTAATTATAGTACTTTGATTCTTTCATTTGTATTTTGGAATGCAACTAGCAGTCTGCACAGAGCAACTCCTAGGAAGAGTTGGTGGACTGTCTTTAAGTACACAACAAAGAGCCCATCTGGGCCCCCAAAAGTTCCAATTGGAGGTCACTGGGAGTCCTCCTGAAGAGTAGATGGTGTGACAGACACTGCAGTCCAGTCATCAGATCCATTCCAAAACCTTCTAGCAAGTCTTTCAGCATGACAGAGGGCAGGAAGCCAAACACTGCACTCTCCATACTCCCTTATAGCTAGAGTGCTGGATGCAAATTTAGTTCTGCAAACCAGAGACATAAGATCTGTAAGGCAGAAGAGAGACCCTGCTGCCTCTCTTGGCAAGCCTGGCCGCAGGTGGGTTTTCCTGCAACAGCAAGTGAGTATCCAATCACTGGCCCTGAGGATGCTTCACGGCCAGTCTCTGAACTGCAGCTGCAACAAGTCCTTCTAGAATACAACAGCTTCCACAGCAGCTCCTGATTCCACACCTGCCAGATGAGAGAGGTGGCAGCTCAACAGGTGGGCCAGGACTGCCACGTCCCAGGAGTCGTTCCCATGGGGCCAACAGACAATCTCCTCTCCCAGACCCTCCAGTGACTCCAGAAGCACCAATTTCCCAGGCTCAGTCCCTTTCCTGCTTAAAATAGCTAAGTGTTCCTCAGTCCTAAAATGAATCCTGACTGATCACTAATTTTTGCATGATGTCATCCACATGCATGAAAAAACTCTGTCTATGTTACGGAGACCAGAAACCATTTTGGAGAAATATATATTCTGTTAAAAGTCTCCTTCGGGGTGGGGGGAGGGCAAGCATTTCGCATAGTGGTTAAGATGTCACTTGTAACACCCACGTCCCATATCACAGTGCTTGGCTTCCAGTCACG